CAACCGTCATAAAGATGAATCGCTTGCCAAGCGGCCAAACTTTGATCACATGACCATGGAGAATTTGCAATGGTCACAAGCGTGAAAATCAGTCATAATTCAAGATTTTTTTCCCAATGCCGTCGTGATTTCAAACATTCACTAAACAAACTTTTGTAAGTCGATAACTACCTATATGGCTCCATTTCTGTCGTAAGTGAAAGACCTCGTACAAAACCAGCAGAAGATGATTTGCCTACGAAAGTACAAAATGTGTGTTGTTAATTTCACAAGGAGCCTTTCAAGTGTCAGTTTTGGAATTTGGGTGGAACAAAGGAAATGAATTATTAAATACAAACAGAATCAACTTTGCAGTTTTATTTAGCAATTTAAACATCTTTCTGACTTCAACGCAGCCCCATACAGGAACATTTTTTTGTCACAAAAACAATGCCAATAGTGACAGAGAAGAATAATTCCTCTTTCTTGCACCCTGGCCAAGCCCTCAAAAATATACCTATCCCCATTTTGGACACCCTTTCTAATTTATTTGGTTACACCTGAGCACACAAGTATACACAATCTGCTTTATTTTTCTTTCTTTCTTCTTTAATTTACTTTCTTCCGCCCTCCCTGCAGGCTAACTTACAATATCTCAGGCCCTATCCTTCCAAATTTTGATAGCCAAGATAAACTTGTCGGAAAGTGTGTGTGTGTGTGTGTGAGAGAGAGATGTCTCAGAGCACAAGCACAATTTCTGCAAGCCTGCCACGAAGATAGAAATTCCTTGGCAGGCACGTTGTTGGCTCCCTTCCAGGTTAGATTTCTATTTGCGGGGCACTGGCTTCCAGTAACAGAGAGAAATCAAAATTCGTAAGCGGAAAAGGAACGGCTGCCGAAATCTGGTTTTATTTTAAAGAAAGAAACTCTTTGGTGTCCTGTTGGCTCCCTCTCAGATTAGATTTCTACTTGCAGGGAACTGGCGGAGAGAATTCAAAAGTCATAGGAAGGAAGGTTCTATACCGAAATCTGGGGTTTTTTCCCCTCTTTTAGGAAAGCATTAAACTTGTATTCAGGTTTTTGTTGGCCTTGGAAAAAGGACAATTTGCATTCATAAACTCACAAAGGATTGCAGTTTATGTTATAAACACTTAGACCATTTTTTAAGGCCAGCCAGCTTGACTTCTGCACGTAAAATTAAAAAATTAAATTGAAAAATGTAAAATGCAGAGATAAAAACCTGCTTGCTCGTTTAGTTTGAATTTCTGCCTTAGATTTGAAAGCCAAAACACCCTGTCTGCTCTTGATAGAAAATGCCTCCAAGCCTTGGAAAATACCAAAATTGGGAGGGGGGGGGGAATCTTTATTCCCGCCCCTAACATTTTGTATTCCAAGCTTTGTTTGCCATCAATCACACCAATCCATGGTTTATTTATGGTTTGTCAAACAGCAGCAGCTGAGCCAGCCTCTCTTTTATGGTTTATAAGATAGCCAGGCTGCAAAGTTTCAGAACAGAATAACAAGAGTTGGAAGGGACCTTGTAGGTCATCTAGTCTAACCCCCCTCCTCCCCACAAGCCCAGGCAGGAGACCCTACACCATTTCTGGCAGATGGCAGTGGTCTGTTCAGATAGTAGGTTTGGCCTGCTGTCAAACTCAAGCACTCTTCCCTCCCGGAGAGTCATTATTCAGGTAGACTGCCCCTGAAGCTGGAGGTTTTGCATGATTATCGCTACCCCAAGATGAGATCTAAACACAGGAGCTCCAATGTCAGTGTTTCCCAACCTTAGTTAATTGAAGACAGGCGGATTTCAATTCCCAGAATTCCCCAGCCAGTTTTCATGGCCTATTTTTTTAAAACTTTGCTGAAGTCAAGGTATATTACATCTACTGCATCCCCACTATCTATTAAGCAAATTATCCTATTAAAAATATGTGATAATGGTGGCCTAGCCTCATATGTTCTTGATCCATTATTAAACTGGGGCTTAATGTCGGGGCAAACCAGGCCTTATGACTCCAATTTGTTAAGTAAGAGAATCAGTTTGTCATACAGGCGTCAAACTCACCGCCTCACGTCGCTGTCACGTGACATTTTGCGATGCTTTCCCCTTCGTGGAGATGGGATTAGTGTAGCCCACGTGGGACACACCCGGCCAGCCAGTTTGACACCCCTGCCGTACAAATAAGGGTCCCTAAACTTGTGGGCTTCCAACTCCCAGAATTCCTCAGACAGCCATGCTGCCTAGGGAATTCGGGGAATTGAAATCCACCCAGGGGGCGGGGGAGACAGGACATTTGGGGTTATGGAGGCGGAAATATAAGCCAGCATGGAAAATAAAGCTGTCATGCAGATGTCTGCTGAACCCCTGACCCGTTTTTTTCATCCTTTTGATATCGGGACAGCTTTGGCCGGACCGACAGCTTTGGCCGGACCGACAGTCCAAATTTTATCCGGGTTCCCATCAGTGATAAGTTTCCAAATTTTTTCCTATCGGTTCTGAGAATGTGCTTCAGCTGAGCTAAAAACAAACAAACAAGGGAATATACGGGAGGTAGGTGAAGGCAGGTGAATACCACCTCTGGTTCCCACCCCAGGAAAATACAGTTTGTTCTTCCTTCTGGCTTTCCTTCTGCACATCTGTCCACATCTGGCAGACCGCAGAAATTGCTGCGTGGGCTTTGGGGAAGGAGGCCGGGAATTTCCCCCCACCCCTTTGACCCACTGACCCTCGCTCTCCTTTCTGCAAAGCCCCAGCCGGGCTCTGAGTCAGGAGAAACAGAAAGGGGAAGGGAGACAAGAGCTTGCAAAAGAGCTTTAGGGACTAGAAACTTGGCACATCTGCCAAGTTGGAGGGAAAGACGAGGTCAAGACCTAGTCACAAGGCTGGGTGAAGCAGAGTCCCCAGAACTGTGGCAAAGGGTTTCACATGTTACATGGAAACAGTCTTGTGATTTCTTGCGTTAGCAGACAATTCAAATTAAGAAGTGCAGCAGGAAGCAAACTGTGTTTTCTTCGCGATTTCTTCACAAGTATCTGCAGGATGTGTGCGAAAACTGATAACATGTTTCTGGTGACCACAGGATGTTTCAAATCTGGGTACCCGCTGGAAGATTTGCATCCCATGTTTAACAGCCTTTTTTCCCAGCTGGGGATGCCTTTTAAACCATGTGGGTCCCGATTGTGTCATAAGTCGAGGACTAGAGTTCTAGTCCTCGACTTGTGACACAATTGCGACCAACTGCTATTGACCTCACCCCTTTCCTAAGAGGCCTGTAGGGGACGTGCATAAGTGCACCAACATGTCTACCGTCCCTGTCCTATTGTTTCTTTTATTTTTCTTATATGTATCCATGTATTCATAACTGTGTTTTTACTTATACCTATTATCTTGTAAGCAATTGACAAACCAAATAAAATAAAATAAATAAATAAAACATTTCCCTTGCTAAGTAAGGCGATAAAGTAAGTCGTGTTCAATTTTTACAAAACATTTTTTTTTTTGCCATGGTTGCTAAGCAAATCACTGAAGCTGTTAAGGGAATAAAACGGTCGTTAAGTGAACTTATAAGTGTTAGGACCAAACGTAAGTCGCTTTTTTTCATCCTAACTTCAAACGGTTGCTAAACAAACCATTGTAAGTCAAGGACCACCTGTACCTTTAAGGAAAGTCTTATTTTTTTTAAATAAAACTCAGTTGGGGAACTTGCTAGAATATTAAACCTGAAAGAGAAGGCCCCTTTGCAAGGATGTCCCAGCTGGTAAAACTAAAAATGTTGCAGTAATAAAAGCAGACCTTTATATCCGTGGTTTGGGATTTAACACGGTTTGGGAATTCAGCCCATTGTGGTTTATATGGCGTGAACCTCAATGAAGAAAACTGTAACTTAATGTGATACAACTAGCTAGCTTGACTGTGCTGAGACCACTTGAATGGAGATGGCGGATTGGCAGTGATTCTAGTGTTGTACGATTCTAGGCCATTGAAGCTGGATTGTTCCATAAGCCATGGTTAAACAGGGGCTTAATGGCCAGGCAAACCAGTCTCTAACTGGTAAAGTAAGAGAGTCAGTTTGCCCTACTACAGCTAGGATCACTAAACTTGGCAACTTTAAGGCGTATGGACTTCAACTCCCAGAATTCCCCATCCAGGGCAACTTTCTTCATATATGGTGGGAATGCAGTAAGCATAATATATCTTGACTTCAACAAAATAAAAAATAAAAAGAGCTGGCTGGGGAATTCTGGGAGTCGTTAATCTCTACCCCTGTTCTGACCCTGGCTTTCCAAAATCATGAAGCAGACTCCTCATCCCGGTAACACCCCTTTTATTTAGGTTAAAGTGAATTCCTCTCTGGCAAAGTCCCGGCAAACAGTCTTTCAAGAGATTTCACAACCACAGACCTTTATCAGGCTTGGAGAGTTGCCAGGCCGATATCTTCCAAACGCCACAAGTGTAGCAGCAATTACTTGGCAAGAAGTCAGGAACAGATCTTCACCCTAATGAATTGAACTAATTGTCTCCTGCAAACACAACTCCCCTTTCACCTCCTCTTTATTCCCTCTGGGAGGGGCCATTCACCATCCGCCTGAGCCTTTACTCCTGAGTCGACCCTTGTTCCTTAACCGTTCCCTTCTTCTGGCAGCTCTGTGCATGAGCACACTGAGAACAGGCTCCAGCTGTTCTTCTTCCCCACTGATCTCTGACTCCATAGGCAGCAGGGAAATGTCGGACAGCCCTGGCCCCATCTCTGCCTCCGACGCAGAGCCCTCGTCAGAGCCTTCCCCAGACTCCAGGACTGGCCCATGTTCCTCCCAACCTCCTCGCTGTCCAAGTCTGCCGCCAGCTCCGCTGACCGCTGGTGGGCCACCACAACCCCGTCTTTCTCATTGCCTCCCCATCTTCCTCTCGGGTGCAAACAGAAAAACGATTAACCGAATTTAAAAAAAACTTGGTTCTGTTTTCTAAGCTGGGATCGGGGACCGTGCGTCTAAACACCTATCTTCTTTGTCCTCCACAGACGCCATGCCTGTATCGGATCCGCGGGGAGATGCAGGCCGGTGGGCCAACGTCAGCTACCGGGTACGCCAGCCAAATGCTGCAGAACCGGCGCCCAGGAGGAGGAAACAAAACTGGTTCCACAAATTCTGCCGGTGCTGCGCAGGCCAGCGGGATGACAGTGACTGGACACCGGCGCCTGGCGAGATCCCGGGGGCCCGGCGAACAGATCCCGTCATCCGGGGTAAGTCATCAGGGCCTAAGAGACTATCCCAAACCTCCAGAGAGTGATTTGGGGGCTGAGAGATGAGCTCAGCTGGGTACTAAATCCCATCCAATTTCAATCAGAATAGAGCTGGAAGGGACCTTGGAGGTCCTCTAGTCCAACCCCCGGCTCAAGCAGGAGACCCTATACCTTTTCGGACAAATAGCTGTCCAGTTTCTTCTTAAAAGCCTCCAGTGATAAAGACCCAAAACTTCTGGTGGCGAGCTGTTCCACTGGTTAATTGTCCTCACTGTTAGGAAATTTCTCCTTAATTCCAGGTTGCGTCTCTCCTTGATAAGTTTCCATCCCTCGTTTCTTGTCCTGCCTTCAGGTGCTTTGGAGAATAGCTTGACTCCCTCTTCTTTGGGGCAGCCCCTCAAATACTGGAATTCTGCTATCAGGTCCCTACTGGACCTTTTCATTAAACTAGACAAACCCATTTCCTGCAACTGTTTGTTGCGCTTCCAGATTTTAAAGTTCGGTTTGGAAAAAAGCACAGTCTTTAACCCCCCACCGGTTAAATCCAGGAGGAACACACCCCATCACTGTTAATTTTACTGGGGAACAACAAGTGGGGTAGAAATCCAGAGCCATAAATTAAAATTGTCCTTTTGCTTCTGAGATTTGTTTTTTTTCCAGGAGTGTCACCAGTTTGGTGACAACTTGGACCAATGTCTTGCAACCTGGGCCACTTTAAAATGCGTGGACTTCAACTCCCAGAATCCTATGCTGTGCTGGGGGATTCTGGGAGTTGAAGTCCACCCCTCTTAAAGTGGCCAGGTTAAGAATCACAAGTAATCCTCGGCCTTACGAGCTCAACTGAGCTTCAGATTCCTGTTGCTAAGGAAAATATTGGTGAAGTGACTTTTGCCTCATTTTACGACCTTTCTGGCCGCCGTTGTTAAGTGAACCCCACCAGTGATTAAATTAACGACACGATCATTAAGTGAATCTGGCTTACCCATGGACTTTGCTGCTCCGAAGTTTGCAAAAGGGACTCTGGGACACTGCGGCCGTCATAAAAGTGAGTCAATTATCAAGCATCTGAACACAAATCACATGACCTTGGGGGGTGCTAAAAAGGTCGTAAGTGTGAAAAATGGACCCAAGTCACTTGGTTCAGTGCTGTTGTAACTTTGGACAGTCACTAAATGAAATGCCTGTACGGATTTAAAACTGGAGGATTTAAATCTTCATTATCTTCTCTCTGAATTGATAGCAGATAACAGATGAACAGACTTGGAAGGGACCTTGTAGGTCATCTAGTCCAACCCCTCTGCCCAAGCAGGAGACCCTACACCATTTTTGACAGAGGGCAGTCCAGTTTCTTCTGGAAAGCCTCCAGGGATGAAGCTCCCACAACATCCGAAGGCAACTTTTGTTCCATGGGTTGATTGTTCTCACGGTCAGAAAATTCCTCCTTCCTTCCAGGTTGAATTCCAGTTGGGAGGATCCGAAATGCAGAAATTTTCCTCCGGGGTTTTGTGCATCTCGCAAACCCTTAAAAAAAAAAAAGGCCGAAAATTTACATTTCTGCCATATTTTTTTTTCCCTTTCACGGTCTTCGGAACCGCGACCTGGATCGGAACGCAGAAACGGCCGTGGCCGGAGTTGAGTGACCCTCCTTTCCTTTTTCCTCCCGCAGAAGGCATGCTGGTCATCAAAAAGATTGATTTAATGAGTGGCCGTATGGGCGCCAACCGCCGTGCCCACCACACCGATGAGTATGAGTATGACAACCTCATCATCCGCCGCGGGCAGCCCTTCGACATGAAGCTCCATTTCCAACAGCCTTACGATTCCGACGACCACCGCGTCTGCCTTGAGTTCCTAATCGGTAAGTGTGGCCGAAGAATGGTGTCCCCGTCAGGTTTCTAGTCAGCAGATGAACAGAGTGGGAAGGGACCTTGTAAGTCATCTAGTCCAACCTCAGCTCCACCCTCAGCCAAGCAGGGGACCTTACACCCCTGCAAAGTCTGGGAAGGGCCAAAATCAGCGAGGTTGGAGGTTGGCAACGTTGGTGGGGACCAGGAGAGAGGGTTCGGGGTGGCGTTTGGGCGACGTTAGGGATCTGGTGGGAATTTACCATCATGCACGGCACACGTTATCTGTTTTGGAGATCCTCTTTGAGTCTTGGGAGAGGCACCGGGCTGATTGCAAACTTGACAATGGCGACCTTTTATTGACTGACAACTATACTTGATACCTTGGGAAGGGAAAGAGTATAGTTTCCTTCTTCCCTTCCTCTCTCCCTTTGACTCCTTCCTTCCTTTTCTTCCCTCCCAACCTGTCCTTCCTTCCCTCCCTCCTTCCTTCTTTCCCTTCTTCCTTCCTTCCTTCCTCTCTCCATCCTTCTTTCTTTCCTTTCTCCTTCCTTCTCCCCTTTCTTTCCTTCCCTCCCTCCCTTTTGCCTTTCTTCCTTCCTTATTTCCCTTCTCCCCTTTTTTTCCTTTCCTCCCTCCCTGTCCTTCTTTCCTTCTTCCCTTTCTCCTTCCTTCCCTCCCTCCCTTTCTCCTTTCTTCCTTCGCTCCCTCCTTTCCTTCTCCTTCCTTCCTTCCTTCCTTCCTTCCTTCCTTCCTTCCTTCCTTCCTTCCTTCCTTCCTTCCTTCCTTCCTTCCTTCCTTCCTTCCTAGGGAATTCTGGGAGTTGACACACACATGCCAGAAAGACTGCTCTAGAATTTTGACTTTTAAATGCAGCCCCTCCGTGCTACATTGTTCCATCAGACCAGTTGAAAAACCTGGAATTCTCCTTTCCCAACCGGGTGGTAACAATTTGGGGTTGTTTCTCATCTCAAAAACTGTGGTGGAATTGGAGCCGATCGTAGGGGGTCTATGAATCCTCTATCCAAAAAAACTCTAAAATGACCAAGAAACACGAATGTACTTCCTCTAACCACCACATCAAACAAGCCACACAGATAATGCAGGGTTGTCGTAACATGATTGTATCTTTCCTTGTCATTAAGCAATCCATCATCGGGGGGGGGGGGGGGGGGG